CGCTTATATAGCTTTTAAGCAAAAGAGCGGGCTAAAAAAGGACAGACGGAAGAAGCAAAGGCGAGTATGAGAAATATACGGTGGTGCGTCTGTTCCACGGTCGTATCAAACGGTTAAACGGGACTTGTCTGATGTCTAAATTCGTCTGAGAGTTAATGACAGTAGTTCTCACTCTCAGGCGACGCAGAATATCTAGTTTACGATGGATTACGTTCAAGCGGTCCCAAGGCGCACCGTACATTTCTCATAGAACGCTTTGCTTCTTCCGTCTCTTCTTCTCTCTCTTCGGCTTACCGGCATGGTCTATAGACCACGACTGTCAGCGTCTTAGCTGCCCAACTAGGTCGTTTTAAACACTTGATACAGTTCCAGGTCAATGCAGCCAAGCGTCCACTGCGAATTGCAGGAAATTTTGAGGAAATTGAAACATGCAAGAACGTAAAGGTCTTCCTGCAAGTCAAAAATGTGACCTACCGCAGAGAGAAAAATGGAATCACCCTTGTCGACGCTCTTCTACCTACCTCCAAAAATTTGAAGTCACTTTCAAAGGTAAGATCAAATCAAAACGGAAACCATTAAAGCAAACGGTCACACTAAAAACTACGTGTCTATATCCTGAACATTTTCCATGGACGATGTCGTAGTCGTACAAATAGAATTCAATAATGCAAAATTTACCTGGCCTGCGTAGTGGCTTGGAATTAAAGAAAGAGCAAGAGTAGGTGATTTTATATAGAAGATCTTTTATATGTAAATGCAAGCTGATTTTTAAAAAGTTTCTCTGACTCTTTAAATTGATTTTTATTGTATTTTACTGTTTTTTTCCATATTTTTAAAAAAAAGTCGTACTTTAATTCTTATTGAGTTAAGTACCCCCACCCCTACTACCAGCCGGACCTTCAACCGCGCTCTGGTCTGGTCACTGTAGTCAGCCCCCTCATAACAGGTTGTTTTAGTGACTAATGTACTTGAGAAAGTAATATGCCTATGCCATACAATATATTTGGACGTTCCCAACCAAATTTCTATTTAAAAAAGATCGAAGAGTAGGAATTAGAAATTCCAACTCTTTGCTTTAAATGGTTTCGAATCACTTTTCAATTCTGTATCAAATGGTGTAGTCAGTTTTGACCTTACTGCAAAGATTCATCGAGTTTTACTTTATACCCCCTCCTACAGAAGAGCTTTTTGCCCGAAATTTTTAGAAAAATTTCTATTTCCTAAACCGTTTGAGCTACAGAGCCCACATTTGCTGAGCGAAGCGAAGCCCATGGTAAAACAGAGTGGGCACAGACTCAGTTTGGCTCTAAGACGAAATTTGAGCTACGGACTGTATTATCCTCTCTACAGCTAATATCTATGATCTATGTACACATATACAAAAATTCGGCCGTTACGGTACGGTAATGTTACCTCTGGAACTATGTCAAGCTCGGCAATTGGGACCAAAGGTCCTGGCTAGTGTAATCATTGTTTAAACAAATTTTAACAACCTTACCGATGATATTTGCATTTGCTTTTACGGTGTCGCATTCAATAATGCTTCCGGTCAAGCTCGAATGCAGAAGAATTCGAGGAAGAAAACGCAAACATGGCGTTGCTTGAAAATGGTTTCTTTTGTTTTCCTGTTGCATGGATTCTTGTATATTTCAGCTTTACCGGAATGTTTTATCGGACGATTTAAAAGTTTCTCTTTTTATTTTGCAGATTGAGGCTCGCGTAACAGACTGTGCTGATGGCGTGTCATACAACACATGTCAGTATGTTAACACTTACAGATTTACTTCAGGTCTCTGCAGGTTATTGACTAGTGACTCTATGGCTTGGTCAGGAGTTGTCAAGGCAATTAGTCCTCCAGTGCGGTGCCCGGTTCTTGCGGTATGTCACGCCTTCACATAATTTAATGTTTCTGTGAATGAAATCCCCGTTAGGAGTCAGGCTCATACGCCGTGACCCATCCGCAAAATAACAATTTTTACATAGGCTATCATATGGAAGAGAATACGGAACGCCGTAACAAGACTCCGTACTCTAAACGGAAACTTCCGGATCAAAATTAGCGGGACTTTTTTCGTACGCTGGCTCCGTGCCCACATTATTTTGGCATGGGCTTTTATGGGAAAGGGTGCGATACGCAAAGTACGGAGACACCGTAGGTCAATTGAACGGCATACCCCCAGAAAAGCGAGTTCTTGTTTTAAGCGTATTGTTCTTGCTCCAAGTCCCAAATGCCCTCAACTTGATCAAACCCCTTTGGTACTTGAAAAAGGCATTGGGGCTTGCAACAAATGCATGGGCTTAGAGACAAGAATACCTGCGATGGTGTCGATACCGCATTGTATTTGACATTTTAAAAATATGCCAAGGCGAATTCAAGTATTTGGGACTCAATCAAGTTGAGGTCCGGATGGACTTGACCCTTGCTACAAGGGGTCGCTGTTCAATAAACGCATAAGGGTGGGTCCCAGCGTTTTTTCACTTTACCCCCCCCCCCCCCCCAAGAGGCGCCATCTGGAAACTCGGCGGTGCCGACCGCAAGTCCGTGCGACCCACCCTTGAGGCTGTAGGACATATGTGCAGAAGAAAAACCAAGATGGCGGAGGCCAGTTTTTGTCAGGTCCCAGTTTTCTGCTATCAGAATGCGCGTCCGTCTACTCGCTCGCTGGTCGAGGGCTCTAAGGTGTCGGGCCCAGTCCTACAGAATGTCTGGGTTCGATTCCCAGTGGCTGTAGAACTCTCAAACGTTTTTGAGGGAAAGGGGGAAATTCGAGCACCAGGTACTCGTCGTGAGGGCCTAAAGCGAGTCCCAACGGATCTCAACTCAAGTCCCTGCATTCAATGCAGCACTGGATTTGAAACAAGATGTCGCTTTTCTGGGTGTGGTCGGAATCGGGTCCATTTCCGTGTATAGGTTAATAAGAACACCCGCATGACGTTCCCGAAGCGTTCCACCCCCTGCGAAAACCCAACCCCGTCCGCCTTTTCGGAAAAGTAGAAACCGACCAAAATTGTTGCGGCTTGGAATTGGAGCTCCAGAGAACAAGCGTAACTGGCAGCTGCGCGGAAAACTCGAGTAACTCCCTATCTACAAGCCATGCGTTACTCGAGTTCTCCACGCAGCTGCCGGTTACGCTTGTTCTCCGGAACTGTCTGACTTGCGCTAGTTGTATCGACTCGTGGGAGTTACGCTTGTTTTTTTCGGAGCCAACCACCTGTGGAATGAAAAATTGCAAACAGTTATTTACCTCAAAACTTGTTTGCATGTGTTTAAAGGGGAGGATTCGTGGGCGTCACCCTGGTGTTCCGCTAGCAACAAGTTGGATAAGTCAAGTCTGAACTAAAACCTCGTCGAAATGGCATGGGCGTCTTACCGACAAACCGCGTCAGCTTTGTTGCAGGCCAACTACGTCATGACAAATGGATCTCTAAATATGGCGGCAGTAGAACAATTTGCTGGACCCCTGTTTCCTAAACTTCTGGGTAGAACTGTTCTCGCCGAAGTGCGCGGATATGATGAAAATCGCGAATTGTTTGCCTGCATCTTGTTGAAGATATCATTTCTTAGAGTGCGCAACTGATCTGAACCACTACAATCTTGTTCATGGCCAAGCCGATTTCGATCGGGAGAAAAAATTGCGGCCACTTTGTGGATCCTGCAGATCTTGCCACCAAGCACAAGTTGGAGGCGTAAAACCAGTATTTTTACCATTTTGGACTTGTTCAATTATAGTTGTTTTTGGTTTTACTAGTAATACATGAGGAAATCGACTCCAAATGGATTTTAAAATGTTTCAGAGTGCTTTTTTTGTCTACAAATTTGTCACAGACCGTTTTTTGATATCTTTATTTGGTAATGAAGTATGAGGGAGATAAAGTAATGCATACCGGCACCAGTGCGCGGTGCGCTTGTGAAGAACTCCCGTTGCCTATTAGGCAACCGGCACAACATTTCAAAAAGTAGCTACATGATGTAACTATTTCTATTGTAGCTCAATACAAAATTACGATATCAAAATTATCTCAAGAACAAACCTGTGTAGAATCATGGTAGAATGGTAGAATGAAGTCAGCTACAAAATTTATTAAATCTTTGAGGGCGTTTTCCCGATAGATTTCTCGAAAACTCAGAAATTGTAAGATTTGAACATGTTCAAAATGACAAAATAGCTATTAAATCATGTAGCCACTTTGTAGCCTGCCCTTCTGCTTTAGAAAAGCTATCTAGCGGGCTTATGCAAACAACCTCGTGTCTGTCTGTGTGTCTGTTCCACTAGAAGGAGATGTGCTAGAGACTTCAAATTTTCAGGGTATCTTAAGGTTCACTCCTAGAAAACGAAACGCCTACGGCAAATCCTAACAACCAACTCTAAGGGGGTGAAAGTGTTTATCAATGAAAAGGGGGTAGGTCAAAAAAGTTAGAAAAAGATATTTTTTTATGATCTCGTAATGGGTAACTCGTGATAATAGACTTATCTGGGATAAAATTTTGTCCGTTTGGCTCTATCTTTTACCGCTTGGGAGCTGGAGGGTCTTTCTCTGACGAAAATAAGATAAAAATTGCTGTAGTGAACATTAAGTTGTAGAGGAAGGCCTCTAATTGCAAAGTGGGACCCCCCCCCCCCCCCCCTTAAGAAAGAAGTTCTTCTAAGCAGAGGTTGTAGTCACGGTGCGGCACCGTTACATTCCTTTCCCATGTCTAAGGGGCAAATTTTAATGACAACGGGTCTTAGCCGGCGCAGCGAAGCGGAGTTGACAACTCTGTTTGGCGGAAGGGTGGGCCTGCCTGTTGGAATGTTGTGTCGGTTGCCTCAGCGCGTTACGGGAGTTCTTCACTAGCGCACCGCGCACTGGCCGGTTTGCATTCTTTCATCTTCTGTACTTCATGACCAAATAAAGATATCGAAAAACGGTATGTGACGGATTTGTAGAAAATAAAGCCGTCTAAAACATTGACAAAGGCATTCACAGTCGATTTCCTCATAGTACTCGAAAAACCTGAAACAAATGAAAAGAACAAGTCCAAAACTGTAAAAACGATGGTTTTTCGCCTCAACTTTAGTTTTTTGAAACCAAACCTAAACAAACCCAACATATTCTGAAAGAGGACATCAGCGCGCTTTCCATGGTGAACACCCCGAATTTCCCCAGCAATATGTGTCTGGTTAAATTAATTTGTACAATATTCCGAACTTTGAACGGCCTTTGTTCGAAAACGGCTCGATGGAAAACCTCGGGATTCTGATATGTTGTTCTCCTTGGCGAGATCCACAAGATCCACTTTGTCTCGTCCGGCCGGAAACTTTTTCCGATCTTTTCCCCTTTTTGGTGCCTTGGCCATGTACTAATCCAACAATCGGTGGACTACTTGGAGGAAAATCAGGCTTTGATACATCCGAGAATATAAAAATAAAGAAACGACATGAGAAACGGGACGTCCACTGTTTATTTCTTTCACCATATCTGCATACAACACACTACTTTGTGCACCGTTATGTGCCTAATGCACAGAACTTTATTGTTATAGATATTTCAAGAAACTTATTGAAATAAGAATTAGGAATAATAAACTTAGTAACAATGAGGCCCTCTCGCAAGAAGTGACTTCTTTATGTAACATTTTAAGATATTAAAATAATAATGTTATTGTCCTAACATCTTTCACTTTGCTGGTATACCATATCCATGTTAATCCTATAACTTTTATTTCAAAGATTATCTTCAATAATCTGTTATTAAAAGCTATTTTAACATGTATTGACGTAGGTATCTTTGTTTTATTATGTCTTTAAACAATCCTTATTAAGGGGGCAGACCTGTGAAAATCATCGAAATATTCATTTTTTTTTTCATCTCTCAATAAATTCTTTGATCTTTCCTCTTTCTAATGCCGCAAAGCGGATGTTGAAATTCGAAAAATTGCGCTCAGGAGTAGAGATGGGCACTTTATGCGAAAAAAAACTTAAAATTATGCGCTGAAATTTGGCTTGATTATGCGGTAATTATGCTTTGGAAATATGGCAATTATGTGCCTATTATTCGCTAAAATAAGTACTTTCATGCGAAAAATGTGTGAAAAATGTTTAAAAATCACGCCCAAATTCACGCACTGTGCGAAAAAGTTCAAAATTCAACATTTCTTTGGCTAAGAGTACGATTATCCATTTCTTGAACAAAAGTGTCTTCAATAGGGTAGTTGCTTTGACCCAGTGGAGCTAAAGGGTGCACGAAACAAAATTTGGTGTACAGGCAAGTTGCCTTTTCTCTTGCTGAAAAATCCTTCTTTAGGCAGCGCTAAGGAAGAAAAATCATTTATTTCCGTCAAAAGACCCACATTTTTTAAACATACAGTTAAAACACGACAAAAAGTCTAAAATCGGGATAAATTTGCAGTAATTTCGCTATTTTATTCGTGGAAAATGCGAATTATGCGCGTATAATGCAAAAAAAACGTTATGCGGGAAAAAATGCCAAATTATGCGAAATTATGCGGGCTGGAAGTGCTCTGTACTATGGTCCATTAACACTAAAAAGTTGATATTTTTCCATTTTGAGCGATTCTAAAACATTATGCGAAATATGTGATCGCATAAAGTGACCATCTCTACTCAGGAGAGCCCAAAACGTGATGCGGGTGGCCGGGTGGCTGGACCGCTAGGGCTCGCCTGGCCGCTCAGGACAGAATTCACGACGAGGAAGGAGTCCTCTAGAGCCCCGGAATCTTTTAGGACCAGTTCAGTAAGTTTAAACTCGTTTTTCTCGGAATGACTTTTTGCAAACTGTGTGCAACCTCCAGGCCGAAGTTTTGGAGCTATCGACTTAATATTTGGCCCGAATGTTGTCCACTTATGTGCCCAGGATCTGACAAGGGCGATTTTTAGGCCCCCCCCAAGGGGGCCTTTCTGCTCGCGTGCGAGTGCTTCTTTTTCTTCCTCCCTCATTCATTAAGGTAGCGCGACTTCTGTCGTACAGATTCTAATAAAATTTTATCGAAAAATCAATCCAAAAATTAGATTTCATTTGACTATAGCCTCATTACAATCCTTCTGGCCAATTTTGAGAAAATTAAAGTTAAACATCGAAATTATCACAAAAATCGGCAAAATCCTGCCAAGCCAACAATGGTTCGCACTTCTAGCATTCTTTCTGTTGATCCCTGCGGCTTACATTTTCACTCAACAGTAAAACGTGTGAGACAAAAATTCAAGACCGAAAATTAAGCTTCCGAACGATATGTTCAAAATTTTCGTGCGACGTTC